TCTTTGTATTGGATTAAAAATAGAGGATTGGGTGTAGACCCCTTCTTCTTCGAGTGTTGGGATGCCCACTGTAGTGAGGGTGGTTTCGACACTCGTCTTTCAATATGAAGACGCTTTCAATCCCTTCTCTCCTTAAATATCGGTCTTGTACCGTGTCCATTTTCAAAACTATCTTTAAAAACAATTCTTTGTATTGAATTAAAAAGAAAGGATTGGGTGTAGACCTCTTCTTTTCCGAGCGTTGGGATGCCCACTGTAGTGAGGGTGGTTTCGACGCTCGTCTTTCAATACGAAGACGTTTTCAGTCCCTCCTATCCTAAAAAACTCGGTCCCGTACCGAGTCCCTTTTCAAATCTCATCTCCATAAATCAAATTCTTTATGTTGAATTAAAAAGAGAGGATTGGGTGTAGACTTTCTTCCTCTCCGAGTGTTGGGATGCCCACTGTAGTGAGGGTGGTCTCGATATTCATCTTTCAATACGAAGACACGCCTCCATCCACCACCTCTCCCTCTTTAACTTCCTCCCGCAACCCTTGTCACCTAAAAACCTCGGTCTCGCACCGAGTGCATTTTCAATCTCATTTTCACAAAAACTTGAATGGTCGTGGAGTGGTTAGGCGTAGGCCTTCTCCTATCCCGAGTGCTGACGTTTACCGTAGGGTTCTCTGTCGCAAAGCACTTACCATTCAAAACCAAAAACATCTTTAATAAGAGAACGAAGTTCTCTTTGTATTGAATTAAAGAGAGAGGATTGGGTGTAGACCTCTTCTTCTCCGAGCGTAGGGATGCCCACTGTAGTGAGGGTGTTTTCGACGCTCGTCTTTCAATATGAAGACGCCTCGTTCGCCACACCCTTTTATAACAAAAACTTTGAGATAACGAATTGGGTACTACCCGTAGGGGTTACTATCCGAGGACCTGTCTCGCCCCCTAAAAAACAATCCAATCAATCAAACGTGACTTCTTGCCTCGCGTGGCGAAAACTAATCAATCTTTCAAAAGGATATGTTACGTCCGTTCTACCGCAAACAGGTAATGCCTAAGTCTCCAACGAGCGAGCAGCAATACACCTAACTGCTAGAATGCGCACGATAGCATCATCCATAAAAAACATCAACACATCGTAGGCCGAACTACGGCTGCTCTGATTCTTTACTTCTTTTAAGTAAAGATACGTAGGCACAAGGGCCACAATCCTTGCCGAGCACAATTCCCCCCATATCTATAGTTCCCCGAACTACGTCGACTCTGACTTTCTCACATCTATTGAGAATACGTAGGCATGGGACTGCGAAGTCCTACCGAGTCCGTCCTTTCTCTTCTTCCCCCCGTTACCTCTTTTTCCTTGTTTCTAAACCTTTCCTTTATCCTGTGGAACACTTCTTATAGCATGATGTTTAAGCAAATAAATTCACAAATCGACAAACAAAAGGTTCCCATCGAGTACGATGGATGCGAGGGGTGCTAATACCTTCCCTTCGCATAACCGGCTTCCGAACCCGTTCTTGGTCGCGAGACCATCTTATCCATTTCTTTCTTAAGGTTTTCTCGATATTTTCCTTTCCCCTCACGGGATAAATAAAGTTCGGTGGCGACTCTTCTGTCCTTTCTTTTCGCCTCACCCGTCGTCGCACGATGCATTTTTCGAGTAGCGACAGCTGGCGACTCTGCTGGGGACAATATAGCGAGCCAGACCTAATTTGTTTGTCGTGTTTGTGTTTTATTTGCTTTTATTTTTTATTATGTTATGTTCACTAACTGTTGGGTTTATTTGGATGGTTTGTGAGATAAGGCTTTCTACCCGAGCTTTCAAGTACACACTAAGATAGGAGGTGGTTTCTTTCTGATTTGCGAGACTTAGGACTCGTTGAGTTGGATCGAATTCCACCGCTCAGATGAGACCCCGTTGGAATGATTATGTCTTACGTGTAGTCGTAATGACGTCTTTATTTCCGACGTGGGAGTCCGCGACTCTGAGGACCTTTGTAGAACCTTATTCCAAAGGTCGCTAAGACATGACTCTGTGTTCATCCTTTGAAGGGATTACCGTCTTACGAGTAGTCGTTATGATGGAAAACTTTCGAGGGCTAGTGCATGGGACTTTGTTTAAAAGCCTTTGGGATACCCTCTTACAAACCAATAGATAACCCACCCGATGGGAGAAATATTTTGTGTTGTTTTTGCAGGACCAGTGATCTTGATCTCGTTTTGTGTTCTTTATCATGTGCATTCATAAAACATTGCATTGCATATCATTTCTCGCATATCAAGGGACTTAAGAGACTGTGATTATCTCAGGTATTGGTGAATACAATGACTGACCAAAGAAAGCGAAGCACAAATTCCATCAAGTTTAGAGAACCAAAGCTGGAACTAATTCAAGACATTTTGATTGACGTACCAAAGGCTATCAAGATCAACTTTCAGGGGAAGTATGGGAAATTGCTTGATCTCCTCCATTCTAGGGTCGATACTTGGGCTTTGTTCGCTATGGCTCAGTTCTATGATGCACCTCTCAGATGTTTCACTTTTCAAAACTATCAGTTGGCCCCTACTCTTGAGGAATATTCTCACATTTTGAACATCAAGATTAAGGATCAACCTATATACACAGGCTTGGAAGAAGAACCAAAACCTCCTGCCATTGCTCTTACTCTACGTATGACCAAAGAGGAAGTCAAAGAGGGTCTAACCAGTAAAGGGGGTGTTCAGGGTTTTCCATTGAAATTTCTGCTAGAAAAGGCTACTCAATACAAGGTGGATGAAGATTGGGAAAAGTTCGGAATAAGCGTTGCTCTAATGATTTATGGGATTGTCCTATTTCCAAATGTGGACAATTTCATAGACATCACTGCCATCGTTCTCTTCATGCAGAAGAATCCCATCCCTACACTCCTTGCCGATGTTTATCACTCTATTCATTGGAGGAGTGAAAAGAAGGCGGGAATGATCCAATGCTGCTCTCACTTACTATACAAGTGGTATGCTTCTCATTTGCCCAAGAAAGGGCCGTTCATGGAAAACAAGAAGAAATTAAAATGGTCTCAACGCATCATGTCTCTAGAAGCTAGTGATATTGCTTGGTACTCTCCTGAGTACTATGATGTTGAAATCATTTTTAGTTGTGGAGAATTCAGTAATGTACCTTTGATCGGTAGGGCCGGTTGTATTAATTATAACCCAGTCATGGCATTACGTCAGTTGGGCTATGCTATGGAGGGCGAGCCCGAAGCAGAGAAGGTTCAGAGTTTCTTTTTGCTAACCACATCAGAGGACCCTGCGTTTGTCAGGAAGATTGCTAAGGCTTGGGGCAAGATTCATACAAAGGGGAGGAAGGAGTTAAAAGCGAAGAATTGCGTGGCAAAGGAGCCATACAACCGATGGTTACTAGCTAGAGTAGCTGAAAGGTCGTTACCATTTCCCTTAGAGCCCTCTATGCGAGAAGCCCCTCCTGCTCCCACTCATGTGTCCATAGAAGAATATGAAAAACTGAAGCTAATAGTGGAGAGATTGACTAAGGAGAACCAGGACCTTCAGAATGAAGTCCACCAAGCAAAGGTGGAGAGTGGTCAGTACAAAAGAAAGGTGGAGTTTGAACAGGATCAGGCAGCTGAAAGTAGCAAGAAGCTAAAATTAGAAACGGATCTGAGAGTCAGGTACCAGCAGGGTTACGAAGGGGCTGATGCATCATTAACAACTCTCCGACAACGCTTAAAGGACACCAAAGCTTCTTGTGATAGGGCATGGCACTTCTTTGAGATAGCCTCTGCCGAAAAGAAGGAAATACGAGAGAATCTTGAGGCTGATATTGGGGATCTTGAAGAACGACTGAGAAATGCCTTGACCCTAGTGGAAAATGAACGAAGACTCAATAGCAATAGACCTTGCTAACTGTTATGCTTTCTTGGGGATAGTATAATATTTTGTTACTTTAACAATTGAATTTCTGCAACATTCAATAGCAATACCTACATTTTTATGTTTACATTTTTCAGTTTGACCAAAATCCTCGTGATTCTGATTGTAGAAATCAGAACATGCAAGTTGGTCTGGATGCTTTTACTTCCGGATCATCCAATCGGCCCTTGCTACCATAGGAGCTCCAGAGGACCTTATTGAGGTGATAACAGGATAGACCCTTATTTTTTACCCTTTCTTTTCCCTTTAATTTCAGTCATATCTGCATTTATTACCTCAATTGTACTTTTCTTACCAAGTTTGCGGAAACAGGAGAAGCACTGGTGTCTTCTGTTGATAAAGTCATTTTTGCTGGATCACCCAGGGTTGGTAAGATGGTATGATTCCTTTGCCCAATCAAATTAGTTCGACCTGTTTTCTCATTTGTGAATTGTATGACATAATAGTTTTGTTTATGATTCTGAAGACTTAATTTCTGATATGTTATGCATTCAGTAAAGAATTTCCCTAGAATATTTGGTCAGTGTTTTCAGCACATGATTTTCTGAGCTCTTCTGTAGTAGCTAGTAAGGATTTTGAAGAGCAGAAACCATTCAACTATAATGAAGAGAAAGGGAAAGGAAATCAAGAAAAGAGAAGTCTAATGAGCAACAACATAGGAGAGGATGAATTCTTGTAACTTGTTTTCTCTCAAATACTCTATCACTGATTCAATGTTACTACTTTATGTAAATTAGAATGCACTTTCTTGCTTTATGTGTTTCTTTAATTCTATTCTCATGATGTCTTTGTTACCACTGCAGACCCTTTGAAGGAACCACCGCTAATAACAGCAAACACAGTTCTATCAATCTTGTCTGTTGATTATCCAGTTGACAAAGTTAGTTGATACGTCTCCGATGACAGTGATTTGATGCTTCTCTTTGATACTTTGTCACAAACTTCTCAGTTTGCAAGAATATGAATTCCATTTTGTAAAAAGTATAACATTGAGCCAAGAGCTCCCGAGTCTTATTTTTCTCAGAAAGTTGATTACTTGAAAGACAAGGTACTTCCAACATTTGTAAGGGACCGCAGAGCTATGAAGGTAAATCCTACATCGATGTTTTTTAAAAATTATTTTTTCATATTGATGTTGTTTTATCTTTCTATGTGAGGCTTTAAGGCATTTTCCATTTCAATTATGCAGAGAGAGTACGAAGAGTTCAAGGTGAGAATTAATGTACTTGTCGCGGAGTCTCAGAAAAAACCAGAAGAGGGGTGGGTGCTGCAAGATGGTACTCCATGGCCCAGGAATAACACCGACAATCATCCAGGAATGATTCAGGTTTGCTAATTTCATTAACTAAAAAATCAAGTCAAATTTTTTCATAGGATATCCTGAAGAGTTTATGATAATAATCCAAAAAAAACATATGGAAATTGTAATAAGCTACTTTCATAAGCTCTCTCAAATTGTTTAATAAGTGCTTATGTCAGTATATCAGCTTAAGTAATTTAGTTCTAACATGTCATTTGGATAATGACTATAAACCAAGAACTAAAACGTATAAGCACTTATCTTTGTAGGTGTGTCTTAGAAGTGCTTTGGCCGTAGACAATGAAGGCAAGTCACTGCCACGACTTGTGTATGTTTCGCGCGAGAAGTGTTCTGGTTATCAACACCATAACAAAGCTGGAGCAATGAATTCTCTAGTAAGTAGTTTAAACTTTTAGTATATAGTTTTATTCCATTTAGTTTAAAAAAATGATATTATAAAAACTGCTTCATTTCCTCAACAGCTTCGAGTTTCTGCTGTGCTTAGCAATGTACCTTTTGTGTTGAATTTGGATTGTGATCAATACATCAATAATATTATTATTAATATTATTATGACTTTAACTTTAATTAGTGATATGTGTTTGTCAATCCATTTAGATACTAAAATAGAGGAGACATGTCTGTTTGTTTGCGGTATTACTAAAGTGAAATAATGGTGGTGTCCTTTTCCATTACATCTTGCAAGGATTTGATTCTTTTTTAGCAATACTTTCTTCTGTTTAAAAATGTTTTGACTTTGTCAAGAGTAAGATTCCGTTCTGTTGTTCTGTTGTATGTTGTTTGCTGCTGTATTCGGTATCCTCACCAACATATTCACATATTCCTCTATATTTGTGCAGAAACTCTGGTCTTTGTGGATTCAATGAGCTCTCTTGCGTGATTTGACTGCGGATGCCTGTGGCTCCATTGAGTTATTGCCACCAGCCGCCAACAATTGTTATGTTCTGAAATTTGGCGGTAAGCAAATGATTCCTGTCATGAATAAGTGAGAAAACAATTGCCATTGATTTTTATTCTTGCAATTGGTTTGGCATTCTGATATCGTCTGCCGTAAGCTGTTACTGAATCTTCATTGTTTGTTCAAATGTAGGTGATTACCGCGAGATATACCAAGCACCATAGTTACTGAATCTTCATTCTTTGTTCAAATGTAGGTGATTACCGCGAGATATACCAAGCACCATAGCAACATGTATTTCGCTCGGCGGAGTCCTTGGGACTGCTTCATTGCGAAAAGCCTATTCAAACAAATGGTCGCTTGTGTTTCTATGGATTTTGTAGGATTTACGTAATGGCTTGTTCCTCATGTAATAACTTAGCTTTAGAAATTTTCATAATTGAGTCGCGTTTCCAAGCTGTAAATTTCGAATACAGCTTGCAATTTGTAAAAACTGTTAATTTGATTAATAAACCAAATTTAGCAATACTGGCTTTACATTGTTATGAACTTCCAACCTTCCAATCTTTAAAATATTTTAATTATTAACTGATTCTTTACTCTCTCTCTCTCTCTCTCTCTCTCTCTCTCTCTCTCTCTATATATATATATATATATATATATATATATATATATATATATATATATATATATATATATATATATATATATATATATATATATATATATATATATATATATATATATATATATATATATATATATATATATATATATATATATATATATATATATATATATATATATATATATATATATATTAAAAAAAGTGTTATTACAAAAAAAAAACAACTTCTTAGGTCGGTTAATTATACCTGATTTAAGAAAGTAAGTTCTTAGGTCGGATATAAATGGTTTCTGCAGGCTAGACTTATTAAGTCGGTGTCGCTTCCGCGAAAATATGGTGTCGGCAAAACAGAAGAGTCGCCACCTTTCGTTATTTATCCCTCAGAACGGGAAAGGAAACGATCGTAAAAACCTGACGAAAAGGTATAAGACAAGGTCATCGCAACCGTTGTCTCGGTTTGGGAGTCGGTTACGCAAGGGGAAGGTATTAGCACCCTTCACGTCCGTCGTACTCGACGAGATCCACGCTTGTTGTGTTTACTGGACGAGTTGGTTTATCTATCTACCTATCAAGGTTGGCTTAAGCAGAAAAGAAAATGACTCGGCAAAGCGTCGCACTTTATGCCTACGTATTCTCATCAGAGAATGAGAAATCAGAGTCAACGTAGTTCGACCTACGACGGGTTATGGGGAAGTTGGCTCGCCAATACATCAGTATTGTGCCTACGTACCCTCAACAGACTTGAGAGATCAGAGCTTACGTAGTTCGGGATAATACGGATTACGGGGGTTCAGATTCATCTGTTTTATCGAGTAGGGTTAAACAGCAGTTCCAGCAGTTAGGGACAAAGCCTGTTTGCGTTGGCGCTGAAGTTTAACGACACTCTTTTCTTCAGAAAAGCTTCCTTGGAATTATGGGCCCACGGGGCAAAAAGGTTTGAAGTTTGTTTTCTGTCTTTTACGAAAGAAGTGTTTTTTATTGTGTTTGCAATTTCAATCGTACTAAAGACTATGACCTAAGAGTGAATGCGTCGCATGTCACCCAAAGGGTGCCATACTAAACATCCAGACTATTGAAAAGAAGCTCTCCAACAATCCTTTCTCAGATAGCTTAAGGCTCGTGACGTACGAAAGAAATCATTCATGATTACTTTATTTTAAGCTGTTTTGAGATGAGAAGAGAGAACAGGCTCAACTACAGGGAGACTATCAAGTCCTACTGTTGTCATGCCAAGGATTCATCCTATGGTTGAAGTTTGAAACAGGGAACTCCTAGAAATTATCATGCATAGGTTTCAACCTAAAGTTCTATCATCACTTCCTTATCAAAGGAAGTGAGATTCCTAAGGGATCATGTCAATGATACACAGAAACAAATAAAGCATCAGCTTAAACAGTAAACAAATATATAGTAAACGACTGTAAAATGCATGCAATGCAAGTGAGGGAGGAAATGTGTGTGGGGCAGCAGCCTCCACAAGCTCATCTCAACCTCAAGCCAGATATGAATAACTGCAATCATACAGAAGAAATAACATGCTATCAAGCAAAATATAAGAGACTGTAATCATACAGAAGAAAATGGAATGCTATCAAGCAAAATAAACCACATGGGCAAGGGAGCTGGGCTCTACCGAATACCCGCAAGCAAAGCCATACAGTAACAATACCAGCAGAGGGATCAACTCAACCTCTAGTGCAATCATGCTCCTAGCTTAAAGTCAGTCTAGATATGGACTTATTCTAATGCATCAAGCAAGTCAAACAAGGCACATCAGCAATACAGAAAAGAAAACAGACAAGAAAGAAAGCAGATCAACCCATCTCTCAATTCCAAGCTTCAGCTCTTCTGACAGCAATCCAGTCTTCAGACTTCACTCACCCTTCATGCCAAGTATCAACTTGCTTCTCCAGGTTTCAACCCATCAACATAAGTGTCAACTTAATCTTCTTCTTCAAGCTTCAGCTTCCAGTCAATTCCACCTTCAGGCTTCACTCTTAACTGCAAGTATCAACTTGATTCCTTCAGGCTCTCCAAGCATCAATGTAAGTATCAACTCATCCTTTATTCCTCAAGCCTCAGCTCTACACTCAATCTCAATTGAATCCTCTTCATAAGTAGTAACTTAGTCTTCAAGCTTCAGCTCTCTTTGCTTCACCAGTATCAACTTGGTCTTCTTCTCCTACAAGCTTCAGCTTCTCAGGGTAATCTTTAATCACATGGAAGTGTCAACTTCATCCTTCAATTCTTTAAGCCTCAGCTCTTCACTCAATATCCATTGGGGCTTCAAGTATCAACCTGTTCAACATGTTCTTCTTGCTCTTCAAGCTTCAGCTGCAATGGCAATGCTCAAGGAATCATCCTCTTCCACACTCTTCAATGAAGTCCTCATCTTCAAACTCAAGTCCAACATCTCTCAAGATACTCAAACCAGAAGACAATTGATTTAACAGAATGAGAGGAAATGATAAACAGCTTACTGACAACCAAAGGAAGCCTGTATGGGTTCATCATTATGAGAGACTGGTTCCCTCAAAGTTCTACTCCCCAGATAAAGCCACTCATCCCTCCAAAGGAGGGATGGGAATATCTGAGAGGGACTTTTAGTCATTGGGAGGAATGGAAGCACAAGATGCTTTCCATATTTGTGAAAGAAATCATTTTCACTATAAGGCTCTCCCTATATCCTCTATCTCCTAAATCTTCCTCAGACACCTTCAGGCACAGACAAATCCAAAGCTCCAAGCAACTTCAAGCATCCTCCTATTGTCTTCAACTTGTCTTCAATCTCAACCAAAGGCAAACAAAGCACAAACCCTAATCTAAGGGGACTAAAGCAGTTAAACTAGTTGAATTAGTAAGTTAGGATCACCTAAAACCTAGTACTAAAGTTAGTCCTAACTAAAATACTAAAACCAATTGTAAAATCCTACAAAAATATCTATGGGAACCTAGGTCAATCATGACTCTACCATATTAATTCCAGAGATCAAATCATCAAATAAGACCTAGAACTAAATTCTACATTATAAGGTACTAAACCTAAACCCTAAAAGGAAGCACCTAAATATCAATCTAGAAAGCACACTTATTTTCATCACAAAAATGTGAGAAAAATGCTATGGGAGCATACATGTCTAACCTAAACACACACAAAAAATTAGGATCAAAGTCATCACCACATGATCACACAAAATTCCACAAAATTATGTATCAAACATAACCATTTTAATATCAATTAAAATATAAAATTCCCATTGTTGCACCCCAAAATTTGACCAACATTTCTTTACCTAGCTTATGTTTCATTTGATTCACATTAGCATTATCATTTGCATTCCATTGACATGTATGCAGGAGATCAAGAGGTATGATTACCAATCAAGAGCTACACAAGACTTTGAAGCTAGCCAAGAAGGTTATTCAAGTGGTTAAGGGTAGATATCTTTGTCAGAGAAGTCAGAAGATCCTCAGAGAGAGTGGTTGAAACCAAGGTGGTGTGCCTCCTAACTTGAGAGTTGTGGGAGCTCCTCAGATGATTCTGAAGCTATGAGGGTGGACTTGAAGCTTTGAGAGAGCTTATGAGATGTCTTGAAAGCCATCATGAAGCCTAGACAGGACATTGTGCAAGATTAAGAAGCCTCAGCCATTATTGGTGTGATTAGGGTTTGACTGGGTCAACCCTAGGTCAACTGATGATTTGGAGAAGGTTGATACCTAATTCAAAGGCCATGTGATCATGGATTGATGTATTGAGAGGCTATAAGGATGATTCCAAGGTTAACTCATCATGATTGAAGAGTTTGAGAAGTTTCAAGCTAGGGTTTCTAAGGCTTGACAGTGTAAAATCCCCTAGTTTGACCCCTATCTTCAAGGCAGTTTAGATCAAGATGTGATTGTCATCTCATCTTTCCCCCAACATGAATGTTGTAGAGCTTGTTCTTAGCTTTAATTTGAGTACTAGAAGTCCTTGATAGGATTTGTAGAGCTCAAGTTATGACTTTGACAAGTTACAGGTCATCTGAGGTATGTGAATCTGGGGCCTTGAAAGTCACCCAACTTGCATCCAACTTTTGCCCAAGAGGGATGATTCTATGAACTTTTAGTCAACATGAATGTTGTTCCTT